TTTAACCTCTTACTGTGCAGTAAGGTGCTTTGGTATCCAGGGGTCTGGAAGGTTCTCCTGGCTGTAGGACCTTCACCCTCCGTTGTGATGGCCTGTACCTCCAGCCTGTACAAACTAGCAGGGCGTAGGCCTGACACCACTAGAACATCACCATCCTGAAAGAGAGGAGACAACAAGTCAAGGAAACGTACGGGACAAAGTGTGAAACACTCATGTTGTGTGAAAGTGCAGGACGACTGAACCAGCTTTCAGCTCAGGGCCCCTGAGATTTGCCCACAGAAGAAAATAATTTTGAACTTGCATTTAAACTAGAAAAGAGAAAGCCAAGTATTTCACTGTACTATCACAAAACTAAGACACAAAGAAATCGATATCAGCAGACGGTGATTTTTGTTGCTTTTTTACATTTAATCTGATCAATTTCTCATTTCACGTGTGAAAGCAGCTCCCAGCCTGGCAGATCCCCAAAGAAGGCATCCTCTAGAACCAGTAATAACTGTGCGTTACAAAGGTCAGAGACCAGTAATAGAACTGGTAGACAGACAAGCGGAGATAAGTAGCCCATGGCCTCAATACGGTGGCTGAGGATGCCAAAGAGTGGAGCGGATGAGCTCAGAAAATTAGGAATTGGAGGAGAAGAGATCAAAGGAAATTATGGACAATGTAAGAACCTGATAGATGAATGAGGGGAAACCTCAGTCAGGTAGTGATGTGGCTCGACTCTGAACTGTAGCTCAAATGATAGATGGCAGAAGCTGCCAATCTAGTGCTGGAGAAGTGAGCTGCTGCATTTTGGGAAAGAATGTTAGGGAAGAGAGAACCTGGCTAACTTTCTGCTGCATTAGTACGTAAGGGATAGACACAGGGAACCTGCCGTCGTACAGAAAGGAATCGCTGCTGATTAGCATCTGAAGGCCGGATGCAGGGAGACTGGCCAGTTCTACAGAAAATTACTTCTGCATTTTGCGAATGAAAACTTGTTTTTTGGAAACGATAGAAAGATGCACAGAGCTGGTCTCCAGAAGGCAGAAGGGTTTCCTGCAGAGAAGCTTGTTGCTGCATTCTGCGACTGAGGGATAGAGAAAGAATCTGGCATCCCAGTTCACTGCTGAAGGGTTCACTGCTGCTTTGTATATGAAGGATCAATGCGGAAAAACCAGCATCCCAGTGGGATAGAGAGGAGGGAAACTGGCAAACCAGTGCCCCCTCTTTTTTTTTTTTGCAAATGATAGATAGATGCAGAGAACTGGTGGTAGTAAAGCCTACTGGTTTTTGCGAATGACATAGAGAAGAACCTGGCATACCAGTGACAAACTTGCTTCTTTACTTGCTCCAGAAGGAGGCATAAAAAACATCAAAGCTGGCATCCCTTGTCTAACACAGACAAATGGAGGCAGGCGCACAGAACTGAGCTTGCCCCTGCTACCTGGCACTGAAGGGTGGGAGGAGCTACAAGATACACAGCAGCTTTTGCTGTTGGAGGTACAGTTTTGCTTCTGCATGGAAGAAGACTTTGGACAGACATTTGGATGTGTGAGGTTACAAAAGTTAGCTTCGAATGCTGATGGTAGAAGCAGCTGAAACCAGGCTACGGTCCAGTTTGAATCCGTAATGGAAGGATATTTGGGAGGAAGCGCTGGAATGGCACGGCTTCTGAGTCGGGCGGCTTTTCGACTAACTTGCCCGGTCTGTGGGCCTGTTTCAGAGCAACGTGAGTGGAGCTGTGAGCTTTGCTGGTGGGTGATCTTGTTGAATTTCACGGAGGTGGCGAGTGGCCAGAGTTACTTCATAACTGAGGGTATTCGGCATTCGCCATGACGTTGAGAGTGTTTGGGTTTCTTGGATTGCCTGGAGGCAAACCGATGAAGCAGAGCTCTGTAGTTCTTCGTCTGACGTGGTGACGGACAAGAGGGCGACCGTAAGCAAATGGAAGGGTGACTGAGGGACTTTTTTTGCCTTTTCCTGCTTCAGTTCCAGCAGTGATGAGTTCCCTTCACTGTGCATTTCTCTATTACTGGTTTAATAGTGAGTAAAGACAGATGTCGTTATGCATCTCTCACAGACTTTAGAAAAGCTGGTGACGACCTTTAGGCCCAGTATGAGTTGAGTCACTTTTACAGGTTAAAAACTTAGATGCTCATCGTGGTTCTTTATTTGTACATTTGTACATATAACCAGCAGTCGAGGCACACTGGAACTCTCTCATCTGGAGCATCTCTCAGTCATGCTCAGGGCTTTGATGTTTTGCAATAAGGTGGATTTTGCCATACCAAGCAATACATGTATTTTAAAAACATCACTTTTCAGATTTAATTTTCCACATTGTATAGTTCAGTAAAGTCACTTCACTGACCGGCGGTAGGATCTGGGACTGGGAGATCAGGGTGCGAGGCAGCTTGACATTGTAGTTGCGGTTAGTTGAGATGACTTCTGCCCAGGTAACCTGGTAACCAGTTAGCTGCTGGTGGGATGAAGTCATAGATATATCCCAGCTAAAGATAGCTGTCACATTGCCCCCCAGGACCTCAAAAGATGCGATCAGGTTGGTTGGTTTCACCAGGACTTTCTGAAGATTCATAGCTGAAAAATACACAACCGGACAGTCCAATGAAGTCAGACACTGGAAAGGTTTTCCTCTCCATGAGGAAGCAAGTGGCATAAACTTCCAATCGCTCACCAGAAGAAGTATAAAAACAGACAGACTGGAACATGATTATGCCTCCTCAGGCAGTTTTGAATATTATGATTCCTCTGAAATTACATTTCATGTTTACATCATTGTGTATTTATACTGCTTTTGAAATGTGAAGGGTTAAAATGGGAAAAACTATCTGGAACGCTTTCTGGCACCTTCAGGAAATGAGTAGTTAAATCTGACGGATAAATACACAATACTGAGTTAGGTTTGCATGTTGTGCTCCAGCCGACGACATCCCGATATTTGCTCAGTATTAAGAAAAGGTGTCGATGTTGTGCTACCTCAGAAGCTACTGAAAAAAGCATACATGCAATTACATTTTAAGGTCATTTGAAGCACATCTTTTCAAACAGCTCAACAAATACCATCAAACAAAAGATTTTAATATGTGTACTTTGTTACTGCATCATTGTAACTAATGTAAAAGTGCTATTTTTACCAGAAGGAAAAAAATATGTTAATGTCATGGTAATGTGATGGACACTCAATGGAGAGGTGTAAGAAAGAGAGGACATGAGAGGAAGTTAAGATTTTATTTTGAAAGGTAAGGATTGCTCAACAAGTGAGATTTGATAATCTGGAAAAGTTCAATTTAATTTATATTATATAATTACACCTATATGTACTGTTGCATTATGTTTTTGTTAACTTTCAAAACTAACTGAAGCGCACAAATCTTTGTGTTATTCGAGGATTGTGTGAAAAACGGGGCAGTTTAATACAGGCTACACTGACTGGTTTGCAGTGTTGCTATTTACAGTTGCATTTGCTGCACTATTTTGCACCATGTTATCATCATAATTCTTTTCTCAGCGTTGCACTACTACACCCAGTCTTAAAGTTGTCTCACTTCCCATTTCCAAGTTTAACCCCGATCATGGGTGTAAAGTTTCAAATTCCTCAAACGATGTACGGAAGGTAGGGGAGGGGCTGGTTGCATCGAGAGATTTGATTGGGCAGTTCAGCGTCAGTAATGTTTTTATACATATGTGTGCTGTGAGTCAGGATTGTTTTGTGTCTAAAGAAAAAAAAGGCTTGATTAGAAGCTAGCAGAGTTGACCTCGCTGACTCGTGCTGCACTTAGAAAGTGTTGAGGTGTGCAGACACTGATAAGTAAAATGAAATAAACAAGCCATTATGCGTTTGCCTCACCGGTTTCTCTGGGACAGTTGACAGGTGTTGGACTCTTGGCCTGGATGGTGGTGCAGGGAGGCGTATGAAAGCTGGTGCTTTCTGCCAGAGGATGACTCGTCTTGCTGACTGGCTGCAGAAGGACTTTGTACTTACAGGAGAAGAGTAAGCCCTGCAGGCTGATAAAGCTCTCCTAGATTAGACAGACAGGGTGTGAGCATGGCTGACTGGAGACTGATTCCCAATTTCAGATTACTGCAACTCTCATTTCACAGCAGGCAAGGCAAAGACTAAAATCACCTGTTCACGATGCATACGTTGTCTCGTCTTATCAATAACAAGATTAATAAAAGCAGTCCTTTTTATCTGTACCACCCATGTGATGCCTTTCAACTCTGTTTTGTTTTGGCTATGGAAATGAAATAATTTCACCTCCATGATCAGAATGATACTCATTTATTTGAATAGGGTTACCTTTGTACTGGTCTCCTCCACAGGGCTGGTCTGGTTGTGTCCGCAGTATTCAGGTCCCCACTGGATTCTGTAGAATTCAACCAAAGGATCTGCACACAAGAAGCCA